TATTTAGCAACTTATATATTTACTTATATATTTCTGGCTTTAATATTACATAATAGAAACTGTAAAAGTAAGTTTATTACCTACTGTTGTTACCTGAAACCACAAAGACCATCAGCTGTAAGAGCGGTATGTTGACATAGCCTATAGGCTACTTATAAACACTGACAACCTTTCAATTGATATTCTGCACATTGTCGTCCAGTTTCTGAATCCTGCAGACAATATTAATTGCAGTGTCCTGCCTTAATTTTTAGAGCTCACCATCCAAGCCAGCGTCCAACAGTCCAAAAGCAAAATGTAGCTGAGTGTCATAGTAGAGACTGAGCTGCTGCTGTCAGATGTTCTCTCATCATCAAAATCTCTTGTGAAAGGTAGCTTGTATTTTCATCTTTAGCCACCTTCAGCCACCAGGTGGGCCTTCTTCACATTTACTTTCTAATAGTTTACTCTGTATATCAGGTGTGTAAATTAAAGCAATTAAAGGTGCTGCTAGTTAGAGACATTGTGGAATTTGTTGTGTATGTGGACTACTCAGATTTAATTTGTAAGGCACTTATACAGTTGCTGACTAATATACAAAATGTCTATGTCGTACACATTTAATGTTATTCCTTATCACTTTCTGATCAGAAACACACCACACCATGTTTTCATCCTCACTGTGATGGACTAAGTCCTCCTGATCTACAATCACTGCTGCATCAAGTGCTTCTTTTCAGTCCACACTAACAACATGCACTAATCCACATATTCACTATGAACATGTAGATTAGTGAATGTTGTAAAAAGAAACAAACAAAACAAAAATTTGAGTATAGCTTCCCATATAACTTTTTCATTTTCCCACCGAATAACTGAAACTATTGATGTTTTTAATACGATTTTACTCCCCCACCTTCCCTCTCCCTTTTTAAAAGCAGCTGAGATGCAATGTGATACATGATATAGGCAACAATCATTAAAATCAGAAAGCCTAAACATGCACTGTTTACCAGAAATCTCACATATGCTCTGTGTTAGTTACTATATATGTCTAAAAACATATCTTTACTAATTGTAATGTTCATTTTATAATACATGGACAAAGTCCCAATAGATTTGGATCATTTGACTAAACTGGAAAATCACATGCCTTTCTCCAGTTTAACAACGTTGGATGGAATGGTATCAAGAGAATATCATTTTGTATTTGTGGCTGTTCCTGAGTTTTTTCATTGCAAACATTATCCTGCATCATAGATAAATCAGCTACTCTAAAAGATTTAAAAAAAAAAGCTGGAAAAATAAACAAATGACTTCAATACAACTTTCTTGGGAATACTTATTTACACACTAATTAATCATTATTTACAATCTTTGATACTTAGTACTGAACTCTAAATAGGTTTGATAAAAGTCTTAAAATGTAAAGGAAGACCCAAAGATGACACAGTTCAGTCCCAGCTGGCAAAGATGATGCATTTAGTCCTTTGGTGTATCATATTTCAGTCCTGCTGTGCATCGATGATGATATCCGTCAGCCTCCGTGGACCTTCGCCACCACCTGCACCACAGACGAGGGTTTGATCCCATACTCCGACAGAGATGCAGAGTCATCGTCCAGCGGCTTTCCTGAGACAATCAGCCGGAATTCAGCCACAAGATATCCTACACACACAAGACAGGAGAGAGAACCTCACTAAATATTTAAACATGTCACAAATAATTATATCATGTCCCTGAACACCACTGATGATTGTTATTTTTAAAAGTCACTCAGAGAGCACATGACTGTGGCCACTGCTCAACTTAAACTAAACTAAGTGTGAAGAATATTTAATTCAACTGTAATAAAATAATAACTGGAAACAAAACCAAACCTGAGTGTGCTCTCACAGTTTGTGCTACTAACTGACATACAACAACAGTAAACACGTACAAATGTGTGCATGGGACTGTGCTCATCTATTAACACAACCTGAGATGTCCACTTGAATGTGTGTTTGAAGTTGTTCTGTTTTATTTCTGTGCTTCTTGATTCTTGCACCACACAAATACCTCGCACGACAATAAAACAAACTGAAACTGATACTGAACATAATGTAAACCAAACTAAATCAAAAGATTTTTTAATAATAAAAATTAAGCACATTAAGGTCATTTAAAAGATGAATAAAATAAACGAGGACATTTGAATGTAGGCTTATAACAGAGTCTGCCTCATTTGCTTGTCTTACTTTTTATCAGATTTCTACATGATCACACGAGACACAGATTAAACACAGATCTGTTTTGAGTTGTTGGGCTTACCTTTCTTGGGAAACAGTTGCGCTGCTTTCATCTTCAAGTCTTTCACGGTCTTCTGCTGCTTTTTGGAGTGGTTTAATTTGATAATCCCCAGCTCACCTGCAGGTGAGCGAACAGACACGCTGTACTTGCACATTGTGTTTGTCTGGATCGTGTGTGAGGCTGAGGAGCTCCTTTGGGTTCTGTTAAAGTCAGATAAGGTGAGTGTATTAATCACTGAGATGGGCTGTCTCTAAATAGTTGTTCAGCTGACGGCTCTGTCAGACAAACATGAAAACACACTTCAAGAATTTTAGGGAAGTTCCTGAGTTCTAATTTAGTTTCACTATCATTTCCACACAGAGATCACATGATTTATTTAAACACAACAAACTGTTTACACTGTCACACTCAGTGGATACTAACACTAGTATTAATACTTAAAGGGCATCAAACACTTTATCTTATGTACTTTATCAGTTTTCTATTCTGGTCAAAGTGTGCTTCATTGTTTGATTGCAGTACAGCAGAGCTCCAGAGGAGAAGATAGAAGTCAGCAGCAGCCCGTATTCAATAGAATATTTGTATAAAGTGAAGTAAATTAGAGGGGAAGAGAAGGAGAGAGAGAGAGCTGTATACAGACATCAAACATACCAACTAATTAGATTGCTTTTGAAGGTTTAGGTTAAACTGAGATTTGCAAAAGTGAAAAAAGATTAAATATTTTTGTAAGCATCATATTTCTTTAGTATTTAGTGCAATGCACTGTATGCATGACATACCCCCAAAAGGTTTGATCCTGGAGTCGTCCCTAGTGTAGAAAAAGTCAAGGTCAAGCTCCATGTTCACGTCACTCGGAGTCATTAGTTGTTATGCTCATAACCGCGTCAGACGTTTTTTGGTTGCATCTAGAGCGAGGATGGCGGGTCTGCTGCACAGGTAACATTCAGCGTGGTTCACTCACTGGTGTGTGTGTGTGTGTGTGCTACATTTACTCGTCTGTTTTCACAGGTAAAGACTCTTATGATCGGACATTTTGTTATGTTTGGAAACTGCGCACCGGAGAGCGCGCGCTGTGCCCGATCATTCAGTGCCACAGTCTGACATCACAGTGATACTGAAACATGAAGCCGCTGATTAAAAACTTTGAAGCCGCTGATTAAAAACTTTGAATGTGAAGAAGAAACGGGAACTGTTGATCGAAGATCCCGTAACACTGCAGCGCGCACGCTGTTCTGACTCCAAGCCGGATTTTGCTCTTTAACGTGAAACCGGAAGTGTTCATTCAGATCTGTTTGTTGTTGTTTCGCAGTGTGACGCTCCCAAGAGTGCCGACAACACAGGAGAAGTGTTACGACCCTCATGACCCAACGCTTAAGTTTGTCGATAAGGAGGATGATTTGGACTGTAAGTATCACGCGGGCACTTTTCAAAGTGATGTCAAACAGATAGAATTTAATGGAGCAACAGTAAAAAAAAGAAAACAATCAAATGCATAAACCAATGTAAGAACAGACATCAGCATATATTTCTGTGTAACACTGATTTTTGCTTCTGTGTGATTGTTCTCAGTTTTGTATGAAGGCTTCAAATCTCTCAGAGCTCAGATGTCCTGTGGTCACGCTGTGACCCCGACCTCTCTCACCAACTGGTGTCGCAGGTTGTTGGACCAGGTAGGCCACTAAAGGTTGTCTTTGTTAAAATAAACAGTATGTAGCAACAAAAACGAGTGATGGGGAAAAAGAGAGAAACAAACGATGATTACTAGGATGGTGGTGTGGTGATTGGGAGTGAAAAGCTTTACAATTACAAGGAAAATCCAGCAACGGAACCCAGGGAATGACAGCTATATATCTGGTTCAAACATATGGTAATTATCAAGGAGGCGCTCAGGTCTGCTATACTTTAGACAGAGACACGGCTAAGGCCATAAAATAGTTTGACAGCTATTTAAAACAAACCAATTGCACATATACCATTAATCACTTCAGGGCTGTAGCTCACCAGTGAGCGAATGGACTGCCAGAAGAAAACCAGAGAATCACCAATCCACAGATGCACCTCACCTCTAATTAACACTCAAATTAAAGTTTAGCTCAAACCAGGGCTGTCTACACCGGCTCTTGCTTACCCTTACCCATCCCTGTTGCTTGCCTTGTCTACACCTCGTTCCAAATTATTATGCAAATGATATTTTTCTCTGTTTTTCCAAAATAGTTGATTCAAATGACAGTCGGCATATTTTTCAAGTCATCGACCAATAGAGTATAATTCAAATGTTACTGAACAAAACTCCCAATGAAAACAGTATGTTTTTCAAAAATGAAAAACTTAAAATGCACTGTTCCAAATTATTACGCACACAGAGTTTCAAAAGATTTTATAGGTTGTAGAGAATTGAAAATGGTCATTTGTTGAATTTGCACTGAAATCAAAAGGTATTTCAATCAAAAACATCTTAACAGGTCAAGTTACATATTAACATATGAACCCTTATTTGATAGCAGTTCACAGTTCTTGCACTCATGGAACTTGTGAGTTTTTGGAAAGTTTCTACTTGAATGTCTTTGCAGAATGTCCGAATAGCCTCCCAGAGCTGCTGTTTGGATGTGAACTGCCTCCCACCCTCATAGTTTTTTGCTTGATCATGCTCCAAAGGTTCTCAATAGGATTGAAGTCAGGGAAGAATGGGGACCACACCATGACTTTCTCTCCTTTTATGCCGATAGCAGCCAATGATGCAGAGGTATTCCTTGCAGCATGAGATGGTGCATTGTCTTGCATGAAGATGGTTGTGTTGCAGAAGGCACAGTTCTTCTCTTTCTACCATGGAAGAAAGTGGTCAGTCAGAAACTCCACATACTTTGCAGAGGTCATTTTCACACCTTCAGGGACCCTAAAGGGCCGACCAGCTCTTTCCCTGTGATTCCGGCTCAAAACTTGACTCCACCACGTCCTTGCTGATGTCACAGCCTTGTTGGGACATGGTGGCCGTCCACCAACCATCCACCACTGCATCCACCACTGCATCCATCTGGACCATCCAGGGTTGCACTGCACTCATCAGTGACCAAGACTGCTTGAAAATTAGTCTTCATGTAGTTCTGGGCCCACTCCAGCCATTCCTGCTGTGAGCATTGGTTAGGGGTGGCCGAATAGAAGGTTTGCACAACTGCAAGTCTCTGGAGGATCCTACACCTTGATGTTCGCGGCGCTCCAGAGACACCAGCAACTTCAAATATGTGTTTGCTGCTTTGTAATGGCCTTTTAGCAGCTGCTCTCTTAATCTGATGTATTTGTCTGGCAGAAACCTTCATCATTGTGCCTTCATCTGCACGAACCCATGTGTGCTCTGACTCAGCCACAAATCTCTTAACATTATGCTGATCACGCTTAAGTTTTGGTGAAATATCTAAAGTTTTCATTACGTGTCCAAGGCATTCAACTATTTCACGCTTTTCAGCAACAGAAAGATATTTTTTCCTTCCCATATTGCTTGAAAATGGTGGTCTGCTTAATAATGTGGAACATCCTTCTTTTGTGGTTTTTCCTTTAATTGAGCTCACCTGGCAAACTAATGATCACAGGTGTCCGAGATTGTTTTCAGTGATACAAAGAGTCCTGAGACACTATCCATCCGTTGGTTTAATTGAAAAACTACTTATTGAATCTTTATGACACTTAAACACAATTTGCATAATAATTTGGAACGCTGTGTATGGTGTATTGACAGTCATGTGCTTTTTGTGCTGGGGTGTTTTTTCTGTTCTCAAACTGTTCTCCCATTAGGAGCTCAGTCTGAGTGGAGTTTTTTTCTCCTCCTCTACCTCATGTTATGTATTTTCTTGTTTTTTCCTATCAGCCTACCTCTCTGACATGTCTTCCCAATGTGATGTTTGTGTAAAGTTTGGTCAGAGGGTTCCTTTGTAAGTGCGCATGCGCCATTAGCGTGCTGCCTGCTGTAACCTATAATTTCCTTCGGGATTAATAAAGTATTTCTGATTCTGATAAATAACCACGGAACATGGAAGTATATCCCACCAGCAAAGCCACCCACTGACCTCCACTTTAAGCCTTCAGCTTCTGAATAAAATAAACAAAAGTTGTTTATAGATCCAAGGGATAGCTTGGGCAGGGATAGCTCAGTAGGTAGAGTGGTGGCCCCATGATCGGAAGGTCGGGGGTTCGACTCCACTGAACGGCTACCCTGAGGTACCCCTGAGCAAGGTACCGTCCCTACACACTGCTCCCCGGGCGCTGCATGGTGGCTGCCCACTGCTTCACTGGGTGAATGGGTTAAATGCAGAGGAACTATTTCCCTATGGGGACTAACACGCACACTTTACACTTTTTTTCACACAACCACTCACTCATGTGTGAAGAGGTCATCTGCTATAAAAAGGTCCTTCCAGTGGTGTAACAAACATTAGGATATTACAAACCAAAGGCTTTTCTTTTTAATCTTATTGGTGTGGCCTTTCACAACAGTCCCAGTTTCTTATGTGGCTCCTTGGGAAAATTAATTGTCCACCTCTGGGATCAGGTTTTACCGTAGCTGCTCTGGTGATTAACTGACTTTTTAAATAATGCTCTGCTAAACAACTTTATATCCACATTGTCCACAGCTAAGTTAAAGTATTTTGAGAAGTCATGTCCTTCTTTTGCACCTCAGGAGTTTTGGACTTATAAAACAGTATTTAAAGTTAGATGAGTAACCAGTGAATGTACAAGCCTGTATGGAAACACTGGGACTGTAGATTCTGGCTTACTGCTCTTACTGCCTTATTTGGCTTTTTTGAGACTCCAGTACAGCTTTAATTACACCTGAGCTTTTATAGCTGTGACCTTTGAATGTTTTCTGTGTGAAGAGCCTTTGCACAGATGACTTTAAGACAGAATTAAGCAACAAAAATCACTACAGTGTTTCAACAAACAATCGCATATTTAGCAATGCATTTCTGACGGATGAGGAAATATTTTGATTATGATTTGTTTCATTAGGTGTTGAGCAACCTTTCTCCACAATATAGAGTTTAATATTTTAATAGTTTAAGCTTAACTGGAAAAAAGAGGAAAAAATATTCCATCAACTTGTTTGGAACAAGTCTGATAATTCTCCCATCTCTCATTATCTCAATAAAGGGTGAAAGCAGATTTGTGTGTGGCGGGTCTGGTTGTAGTGCTGAGTGGACTTTTTCAGAGGTTTGGAAAATGGCTCTTCTGACCCCTCAAGAAACTGAGCATTTTCGAAACAAATTGGCTGTCAATGCTGCCTTGCAGACGCTTATTACCAAATCGGTAAGTATCTCATTAGAATAGTATAATGTCATGAAAATAGAAATGTATTTCTTGTAAGATTTAGTTCTTATTAAATATTGTAACTCTCTTGTCTCCATGTAGTGTCCTGTATGCAGATCCACTGTGATGAGAGAGAATGGATCAGACTTGAATGTCCTCTGTAAAGTGTGCACAGCAGTAGCAGGACGGCCGTTTGAATTCTGCTGGCAGTGTTTGAGGGAGTGGAAGGGTGCACGGCCTCGGAAAGACCGCTGTGAAAATGATGGCTGCTGTAACCACTCACTAAAAACACTAAAAACCTGCCCAGATATCAGCTTTGATTCAGTGAAGGGAGTCCACGCATGTCCCTCTGTGCGTGCCTGTCCCACCTGTGGGTTACTGGTGGAGCACAACAAGAGGCATTGTAAATCTCTTGTTTGTCCTCGATGTAAGGTGAAGTTCTGTTTTGTGTGCCTGAAGATCTTCACTAAATGTATGAAAACAAGTGGCCCTTATGCAGCATGCTCCAGTGGTGTAGCCCCCAGACAGACATCGATACCTGTATGGAAAAAGAAATAATTAAAAAGACACAAAGCTCCCAAGTTTCACTTTTAATGCCTTTTCTGTAAATAATATACCATGATGTTTTTTTTTTTTACATGACCTGTGTTTTTAGTCACTTGTTATAATTCTCTATTGTGTTGGAACAGTTATCAGATATAATCAATGTTGGCCTATATTGATGAGAAATTTGCTACCAAATGTGATCTTTACAGCTGTATTATGTCTGAATCATAACGACAATAAACCTGAAAAATGTTATTCAGTCATAAATTTGAAAACAAGTTAATCATACATTCTGTGATAAACGCATTCTTTGCCTCAATATTTAGTTATTTTATATTATCCTGTCATTGTCTGTTGCATCTTTAGCATCAGCATCTTTGGCATTAGCATCTTCTAAATTGTTCTAAATTTTATACATTTAATTACAGGTTGTAAAGCTAAAATACAGGTTAGACTAAATGCATTAATAAAATAAATAGCACAATAAGTGACAGATAAAAATAACCAACTTATTACAGAAGAATATTAAAAAAAGATAAAAATGAATGTAAATGCGTGGTGCAATTTGAAACACATTGAATAATTCATTGGCTACATTTTAAAATAACACTTTAAATACATTAATTATTGTAAAATTAGAATAGTCAGTTTATCTGTTTATCTGCATCGGATCTCTGGACCTGTTCACCTTCATCCACCAGGTGGCACCTTGTTTACTCTGTACATGAGGTCTGTGAATTAGAGGGGTGTGTCCAGTTAGACACAAATGTTTTTAACCTTCCTGTTGTGTTCGGGTCAAAGACTCCCACCGGAATGTATCCACAC